GCACAGGCTGTTGCTGAGTTTTGGGGGGGGGGGGGGTTCTCCAATCAGGGAGGCAGCAAGCCGTTGGCCCTGGGTGGCGGCGCCTGCGGGCCAAGAGCTGCGGCGAAAGCGTCCCGAGCTCCCCGGACTGCGCGCGCTGCCCGCCACCCCCGCCCCCCAGGCGGAGTGCGTGCGGATCATGATCCAGTGCGACAAGGAGAAGATCATCGCGCAGGTGGGCGCCTTTCCCATTCCGATGGAGCGTGGGGTCCACAGCGCGCCACAGCCCAGGAGCCGCTGGCAGGTGCCCGCTGCCACCACGTCTCCCATTCATGTGGGCACAAAGCTGAGGTAGCCCCACATATGCACCCCCCGCCCCTCACTCCGCCGCCCCCCACACCCCGCAGCGCTGGGTGGCCAGCCGCGCCATCTTCCTGGCCATTGATGATGCGATGCTGGAGGAGGTCCTCCTAATCATGCCGCGGCGGCGGCCGACGGCGGAGGGCGGCACAGGGGACGGGGACGCCGCAGCTGCGGCAGAGCACGACCCTCAGGAGGCCCAGGTGGGGCTTGCGAGGCTGGGCAGGGTGGTTGCTGGGTGGTCTGGCGGTGGGAGCACCGCTGCAGCCGCGCACGGCCACATCATCGGTTTGGTTTGGTTGGGGTTTCCAAGGAAGCAGGAAGTGTCATGCATTGGGCCGTGGCTTGTGGTTGTGCACATGCAACGCCAGGCCGCTCAGAAGTCCGCACACAACTGCGCATTCGGCACCTGCAACCGCAATCTAAAGCCACCAACCGCCAACTGCTGACCACTACTCATGTGTGGCAGATGAAGGCCCTGGGTGCGCTGTACAAGGAGATGCACTCCTCTGTGAAGCAGGAGGTTGCCACCGCCAAGGCCATCTTCCCGCACCCAGACACGGTGCGCCAACACCTAGCTGCGCGACGCCGCACTTGCGGGCCCGACGCCACATGCCCTCCAGCGCGATGCGTCAAGCTACCCAGAGGTCATGCCAGCCATTCAGCCTGGTGCTGCTCGGATGTTTTCCTTTCTTCTCCCCGCCCGGACACACACAACAACACGCACACACACACTACATACACACATTCACCCCCCATAAGACACACGCGCACACATGCACCTTCTCTGCCTTTTTACCATTCCCTCTGATGCACACGACCTCAAACCACACCCCTTCTTGCCCACTCCCAATATTTTCAAATTTGCTGTGCAAGTTTAATACCCCCCCTCCCCACCCC